TTCATACTTATCTAGCTCAGATTTCATTGACTTTCAATTTAACAAATCTCCTAATACTTACTTCTTACCTTCACACAAGCCTAGAAAACTCTACTAAAGGATGATTCTAATTGTCTGCCTGCTTCATGGTAACGTGTACGCCATGTACAAGAACAGCCTGTACAAGAACAGTAATATTGCCACCTTTAGAATATCAGGGCGGCCAACATGAAAAGAGATCTCTACCTTTCTGGGGCAAGTCGTTCTTACAGAAGGACACGATGCTTGGTAAAGTAGAGGGGCCACAAAAATGAGGAAGCCCTTCAATGAGATAGACAGACACAGAGGTTGTAAAAATGGGCTCAAACACAGAAACCACTGTGAGGACGGTGCAGGACCCGGCAGCGTTGCCTTCTGTTGTGCACAGGGTTGCTGTGAGTCAGACCTGACTGGATGGCACCTGGCGACAACCATCGTTCAGGGGGCAATCCTACTAGTCAGTGCGCCGGCCTCATCCAGAGATGATTCAAACTTCCCTGACTCTCTTTAGGTCTCACAAATCCTCACCGTTTCCCTTTGTGGTCACCGGTTTCCAAAATGGCCCCAGATGATTCTTGCCTTGTCATTTTTCCTCCCTTGGGCAGCCCTCTCCCACAGAGAAGTAGAGCCAATAGAACACGGCGGAGATGAGAGGAGTGACTTGAGATGAGGTTGTGGAAGGCAGTGCAGCTTTGGTCTCTTGGACTGCTTGCTCGAGACCAGGCGTCCTCAAACGACGGCCCACGGGCCACATGCAGCCCGCTGAGGACATTAATCCAGCCCACCTGGTGTTTTTGTCCATTTGTTTTTTTAACTTCAAAATAAGATATGTGCAGTGTGCATAGGGATTTGTTCATAGTTTTTTTTTAAAAACTATAGTTAGCCCTCCAACGGGTCTGAGGGACAGTGAACTGACCCCCTGTTTAAAAAGTTTGAGGACCCCTGCTCTAGACTAATGGAAGCCAGTCGCCGTGTTGTGAGACCCTAATGCAGCACTGTGGAGAGGCCCAGATGGGGACAACTGAAGCTGCGCATCAACAGCCAGCAACAACGTAGCAGCCATGAGAATGAACCACCTTGGAAGTGAACCTACCCCACTTGTCAAGCCTTCATGTGACTACAGCCCCAGTGAATTGCCTCCTGCATCATGGAAATGCTAAGTCAGAACTTTTCAGTTAAGGCTCTCCTGAGCCCCTGATCCACCAAAACAGAAAATAATGATAAAAGGTTATTGTCATTTTGGGGCTATTTGTCATGCAGCAGAAGATAATGAATTCACCCTCACTTTCAGATGACTCTGAATTCTTTTTCTCAAAGTAATACCACGAGGAAAAAGGCTTACCACCCAACCATCAGCATCCTGGCTTCTTTTCTCCTTCCTGTTACAAATGAGGAGTTATCTGCCCTTCTCTATAAGGCCGCACTCTGCAGTTCACTCTGTGTTCTAGTTCCTCCGTCTTTTACCGGATCTGTATATGATTAGTTGTCTGTATGTGATTAGTCTGCCTTTTCTCTTCAGTGTCTCCCATGCTACGCAGCTCTTTGACAAGCCTTCACCTCTGAGCCAGTAATTTTGGTAGATATCAGCCTATCAGAAGAACAGTTTCCTTCCCAGGTAAGGCTGAGTCTTTTCCCTTTGTTACAGTCAAAGTTTCGAAAGTGGATTTATTCTATGGCTCATTTCTGCATGTCCCGCCCACTCCTCAACACAGCACACTCTGCTGTGCCACCACCGGAAGAACAATATCTTTGGTAGAATTACCTTATTAATAAGCTTCTTCACAGAAATGCAGAAGGCAACTACACCGAGATCATGTTTTACCTGTGAGATCAACAATACTCGCTATTGACAAGGCTGACTTCTCAGACACTGTATTTCATGGCGCCTAGGGAAGGATTTTTGGCCACATCAGGCACAGCTGCAAAAACATTATCCTTTTCCCAATTACTTCAATTCTAGTGGTTTCTTTCAACAAAGATACATACACACCAAAAGACATGTGCAAGGTTATTCACTGTGGCACTACTTATAATAGCAAAAGAATGGCAACAACAACACAAGTTCCCATTAAATTATGGGAGCCATGGGGTCACTGGAGTCCCTGACTGGTACAAGCAGTTAACCTACTCAGCTACTGACCCCGAAGTTGGAGAGTTCGGAGCAGCCAGAGGTGCCACAGAAGAAAAGTGTAACGTACTTCTGGAAGCAAACCAGCCACGGAAAACGCTATGGAGCACAGCCATACTGTGACATACATAGGCCACAAAGAGTCCAAACTGACTCGATATTTATTTCCAGTAACTGGAAATAAACATAGGAAAGATCAAAAGGATCTCTAGTATTGATGTTCTTATCCTGAAATGTTAGGTTAAAAAAACAAAAAAAAGGCCAGACAAGAAAAAAAGTCAAGGTGAGGCATTGCCCCCTTTTACAAAGATGGTGCCAAAAGTAAAGAAAGAAGTCCTTGCCATTCCCAAACTTAAACTAAAGCAAAGGCTTTGCAGGTCAAGGAGGCAGTGCCGGAAGGTGTCCACAGACACAGACATGCGCACACATACACACTCCGACACAGTGCGGCCCAAGATGCTCCAGCCCTGAAAGCAACCCCAAATATCCTTGGGCGGGCACCTCCAAGAACAACAAGCTTGACCACTATGCCGTCATCAAGTTCTCCCTGACCACTGAGAAAATCGAAGGCAGCCATCCACTTGAGTTCACTGTGGGTGTCAAGGCCAGCTAGTGCCAAATCAAATAGGTTGTGATGAAGCTCTATGCCACTGACTGTAGCCAAGGTCAACCCCATAATCCTTCTGGACAGGAGAAGATCTATGTCGCAATATGATGCTTTGGATGCTATCAACAATACCGGGACCCCCTGAGTTCAGCTGGCTCATTCCAAATGTTCAAATTTCATTCAAAAAGAAAATAAGAGTGTAGAATATACAGAATATAAATAAATTACACACACACACACACACACACACACACCCCACTTTTGTTTATAGATACAAAAGAAGTGCTGAGAGGATAAAATGAATGTAAGGAGAAGCTAGCATGGGTGTGCGGAATCTTGGGAAGAGGAGACAGGAATGGAATTAGAGAGGTACCATGAACCCTCGCCGCTTCGCGCTGCGGCTTCACTCTATCGCGGTTTTTGCATAACAGCACATGCTCTGTCATTACTGTCACTGATTGGCTCATACTGTACACGCTTGATGCCATAAATAATATAATAAATAATAAATGATATTT